CAGTGTTTTCAAACCACCTTCTCCCGGTAACTTAAGCACATCTCCAGGTACATCATCATCTCCTGTAGCCTTTCCATTCCTCATTTCTTTGATAGCTTTTTCCACCTCACTTTCTAAAATATAGTGTCCTTTCTCATCTGTATCTACTTCTTCCGGTTCCACTTCCAAGGTTTCTAGATAATGAGGTTGATCATACAGCTCTGTAATATACTTTATCCAAATATTCAGCACTCACCTCTGATCTACTATTCTATTCCCCTGGGAGTCTTCGATGCCAATATTTTGAATCCCATGGTTCTCTTTCCATCCTAGTTCTTTTGTCTTCATGTACATCAAATCATAACGTCCTGTCCTTTGAAATTCTATAATCTCATTACATATCTTCTCAAGATATTCCTTTTTGGCCCTGTCCGTGGCTCTTTTCAATTCATTCCTCAGTCTCCTGTATTTCCTCCTGCCTTCTTCATTGTTTACATTCTTCCATTTCCTTTGCTCCTCCATTTTACTCATCATCTCTTGTGTAACGCATGGTTTTTTTGCTATCTTCTCAACTTTACCAACCAATTCACTAATAGTATCTAACATGCATTCTTTTATATTGTTCCACTGCACTTCAGCATTTCCGCTTTCACTTTCAATTGCACTGAGTTTCTCTTCTAGGCTCTCCTGCACGCTTTGTCTTTGAGCATATAACTTCCTCAAATTCCATCTAAGTCTGCACTTTTGGAATCTTATAATTTTCTTCAACCTGGTTCAAAACTTGGCAACCAGTAAGTTGTGGTCAGAGTCCATATCTGCCCCAGGCAGCATCTTCACATTCTTCACACTGTTTCTGAATCGATGTTTCACAAGGATCTAGTCCAGCTGATGTCGCCTCCAATCCCCAGGGTGATTATATATATTGCTGACAAATTCTAATCCTTTAAGCACTTGGACAAAAGAATTTCAAGAATGATGTATAGTTCTGGTATTTAGAAGTGACAGTCCAGGAAAAGCTGCGAAGTGGATGGGCAGGTCCATTCGTGAAAGTTGAGGGGTGTTGTGATTAGTCATTCGTTTGTTTTCAGTGCGAGCAGACATCTCAAGTTCAGTTAAAAGCATTCTTCCTTGTACAGTCAAGTTAAAAAGGTTTGACTCTTGGAGTCGTATTTGAGTGTATTATTCTCTATTTACTGTATTAATATTTTATTTTATTGTTTCTTTTTATTCGTTGATTTTCTTTTTTGTTTATTTATATTTGTACATTCATTCATTCATGTTTATTCATCCTACAGGTCAGATTACATTGATGTAGGGCATGTCACATGATATAAATTATAAAATTAGCAAAAATACAATAAATTCTTAACAAACTAACAAAATATGTAATGATTGCTTACATCTAGCACGTATCATTATCCGGTATTTAAGAATTTGTCATTCATATAGTCTTCAAGTGAGTAGTAACCCTTAATTAGTAAATTCTTCAGTTCCCTTATAAACTCATTTTTATTTTCAAGTTGTTTTATATTATTAGGTAATTTATTATAAAAGATACAACCAGCAACTGAAGGTTTACTGTTATAAAGTTCTAAGTTATGCACGCATTTATTTTAAAGTAAAGTAAAGCTATCCCTGTACCAGGCCATGAAGGCCCACAGGGTTGTGAGATGTTGAGGGTCCCACATTATCTAGACAATCGGCTCAAAGTTGGCGGTAAGGTTGTCAGCCTTACGCGCCGTCCGCGCTTTACTCAGCAGGAAAATTATTTAATTAATTCCTGGTACTCATTAACCAGCAAATTGGACTTAAATTTGAGGAAGAAACTTGTGAAATGCTACAGTTGGAGCATAGCTCTGTATGGGGCTGAAACATGGACACTTAGGGCAGTAGATCAGAAACATTTGGAAAGTTTTGAAATGCGGTGTTGGAGAAGGATGGAGAAGATCAGTTGGACCGATTATGTGAGAAATGAAGAAGTGTTAATTAGAGTCAGTGAGCAGAAGAATATTGTACATGAAATAAGGAAACGGAAGGCTAATTCGATTGGTCATGTTTTACGCAGAAACTGCCTTCTAAAAGAAGTTATTGAAGGAAAGATAGAGGGGCGAATAGACGTGACAAGAAGACGAAGAAGAAGACGTAAGAAGATGCTGGATGACCTTGGGGACAGAAGAGGATACTGTCATTTGAAGGAGAAAGCTCTAGATCGCATTAAGTGGAGGAATTGTTTTGGAAGAGACTGTGGACCTGTTGTCTGATAGATTACTGATGATGATGACTCATTTCTGTTAGAGGCTGAGTAAACCCCAGGGTCTAGTGCAGCTGGAAGGATTAGGTCAACTGAAAAAAATCCAATGACCTCATCGGGATTTGAACCCGCGACCTTTCGGCTAGTAACGTAGCCCCTCAACCACTACGCTACCGCAGCAGTCGCGGAAGTTTCTAATACCCCTCACTAGGAAACATTAGGTGGACAAGTGAGTAGCGTGCGTTTGCTGTCGAAGCCTATTTTTCGAACAAGCATTCCTACATGACGGCGCAGCGTGTTCTGTACTCACTTCGGAATTAAGACCAGAGGTCCGGTTCCCGACTGGAAATCGAATTTTTGTGGGTATAGAACTTTAGGAAAACCGGGAATGTGGTGAAAAATTCATCAGGACGACAGCGCACCGTTACGACGCCAGAAAATGTGGAGGCAGTTCGACAGTCGATTTTGAGATCTTTTTCGAACCAGCTCTTGAAGAAATGCACCTAGGAAATGTCTGGTTCCAACATGATGGTGCCACGGCGCACACAGCCCGAGCTTCGATGACAGTTTTGAGGACAAAGTTCCCCGGATGGCTCATCTCACTTTGAGGTGACATCCTGTGGGCAGCGCACTCACCTGATCTAATGCCATGTTATATTTTTATGGGGATACCTCAAGGCAGAGGTTTTAAAACATCGCCCCACAAACCTGCTTTAGCTGAAGAATGTTATTTGGCAGGAAGTAGCCCAAATTCCGGTGCACATGTTGGAACGCGCAGAGGGGAACTTCAGAAAACGGTTGTATCAGTGCACAGAGAACGGTGGCCACGACATTCAAGATATTTTGTTTAAAAGTACATGATTTAAAACTTTAAAGTATGTTCTTTCATTAGCTAAAATAAATGTTGTCTAACAGCAATAATTTTTCTTTTATTCACCTTCAAAAAAAGGAAGTTTCTGCGCCCCACCCTGTATATTATTTAGAGAATCTCTTTCATGATTTACAAATTTCCACAATACTTTTGGAATGTTTACTGATCTATTTATAATATTCTGAATATAATTTTTCAGTTTTTATGATTGTATTGTATTCTTCTTTATTGCTTTATAAATACATTTTTTCTATCTCCTTTAACATGAAGTAAATTGAGTGGAAAAGTGTTGCATTCACAACCAAGAGAAATTGTTTGTAATGTATATAAATATATTAAAAAGGCTGAGCCAACAATTACAGTGAAAAACATAGGAGTGGAAGTAGCAAAGGCAACAGGTGTATCGGAAAGTAGAGTCAGAAGAATAACAAGAGAAACAAAAAATATCGAATCTGGGACTTCTGCTTCCTTTTCAACACCCCATAAAGAAAGACCTAGGAAATCTATACTAGCCACTTTGGACGACTTTAACAAGTCTGTGGTGCGAAGAACAATTAATGACTTCTACAGTCGAAAAATGGAGACCTACCCTGAAAAACATTCACGAAAAGTTGAAGAAAACGTTAGATTTTCAGGGATGCATTTCCACATTAAAGAAAATTATTTTGAAACTGGGGTTCCGCTGGAAGAAAACAAAAAATAATCAGCAGATACTGGTGGAACGATATAATATCAGAGCCAAACGTCTTCAGTATTTGCGGCAAATTAAAGAATATATAGAAGAGGGCGGCCCAATCATCTATACAGATGAAACCTCTATTCATTCATCGCACACCACCCCATATGCATGGACTGACGGATCCATCCAGGGATCATTTTCCCCTGTGTCCAAAGGCCAACGGCTCATTGTTATCCATGCAGGAGGAGAACAAGGTTTCATCCCTAATGCCTATGTCTGCTTCAAATCCCACCAAAAAACAGGAGACTACCACGGTAACATGAACTACACCAATTATGAAAAATGGTTAAAGGAGTGACTTATTCCTAACCTTCCCCCAAATTCTGTCCTTGTCATTGATAATGCTCCCTACCATAATGTAGAACTAAACAGAGCCCCTAACTCAAATTCAATTCAAATTCAATATCACCTTCCACCTATTACCTTCAATAACACTGATTTTTCATCAGTGCGGAATCCAGACATACATAATATGATGCTACCACTCAAACCGAAATACCCTTCCTATAAAATAGATGGAATCTCTGCAGAACACAATCACAATATTTTACAACTCCTTCCGTATCACCCAGAACTCAAACCAACTGAGTTAATATGGGCCACCGTAAAAAATTGGGTTGCTCAAAACAAAACCACATTTAAGATGGATGACATCATTAAACTGGCAGAACAAAAATTGGCCTCCATAACTGTAGAAGAATGGCAACATAGGTGCCAACATGTAAGGAACATTGAGCAACAATTAATGGCATGGGAAGGCCTTTTGGACGAAGGATAGGAGTTCATCTTCCATGTTGGCGGTGATAGCGATGACAGTTCTGATGATAGCTCCGATTCATCTGGTGGTGACAAGGAAGGACAGGCATGTGGAGATGATATCTATGCGGACATTGCCGGTGTTGCCCCTTTAGAACAGACCTGTGTAATATGTAAATAAACTCTTCATGTATATAACAGTGAAAATTGTATAATAGTGTATAGTGCATAATAGTCTGCCATTTGGCACATAAAACTTAACATCGGATGTGTGAACATCATTGAGACCAAACCGCCAACACTATGTAACATAATGAGGTAAGAAGTTATTTCCTTTTGAGAGCACCTGTACTGCATTCCCCTCCACACTTGTCAGCATGCTGGAGCTCTTCCCACCACTACCAATACTTCTCCTACTCCGCATCACAGGACTGTAACTTCTAAATGCTACTACTGATGTGACTTACTGTAGCAATTATGAATGTCAAATGAAACACAGTAGCAAAGGCTAACAGAGCTACATTCCCCAAGAAAATACCTCCAACAGCAAGGACACCACAACCCATAAAAGTCTTTTGTGTGTACCCAACATAGGAAGACACGAGAAACGGTGTATCTGTGTCCAAACTGCTTAGTACCCTTGTGTATGGATGAGTGATATCAGGTGTATTACAAAAAGAATCATTTTTAAATATAATCTGCATTTTTTTTTTGGTTTATTTTGCTCATACAGACACACTTCCTAACAAAACTAATATGAATATACATAGTTACAATTATGTAATGCAAACGTACTGCATACATTTATCAGTACAATGTCAACATATTATTAAAATCTGATACAAAACACAGAATTTGTGGCCATCTAAGAAGCTTGATTTTCTACCTACTATTTGGCAGAAATTCATCCTCCACCAAGCTATGGACAGCATTTAAATGCTACCATGCTGGAGGATTATAAAATATTAAGAAAAATTCTTCCACGAATTTAGGTCACACCCTGAAGTCTACAACCACTAATCCACAGAAATCAGATTTAAATTTAGAAGAAATTATAGCTGATAATAGTGCTTAGCAACTACAGCAAAGGGCCGCACCATAGCTCAAGAAGTTAGTCGCTGTCTTCCCATCGCGGCAGCCCGGGTTCGATCCCGGGTCTGGTCAAGTGGGATTTGTGATGGACAAAATGTTGCTAGGGCAGGTTTTCTCCAAGTACTTTGATTTCCCCTACCAACCTTCATTCCACCAATTGCTCCACAATCACCCTCACCTATCAACTGGGGCTGGTACAATAGGCCAGAAGTGGCCACAGTACAAAGGACTTAGTCCCACCCCACTAGCAATAAAAAAAACTAATGCAAAGAAAAATATTTCAATACTGGAATCGGTTCATACCTTACTAATAGATTCCTTCAATCCATGAGGAAGAAGTTCTTTAATGGTGGCTTTTGCATGCTCTGTTGCTTCTGGAGATTGAAATTTTTCTGAATAATTGCACCAGTGTGTTTCAACATACTGCTTTAAAAGAACTGATGCTAACTGCCGTACAGCTAATGGGCCATCAGGATCAACAGTAAACTCAGCCAGGTGAATGCCAAAGTCTGAAAAAACAAATTAATGAGCACCTCTGTGAACTCACACTGTGTAGTTTAGAAGGTGTCAAAACTGAGAAGACCGTATTATAAATTTTCAATTATATGAAAACAACAAATCTCTTCCAAGATATAAAACCTCTACATAGATCATTACTGACAGTTCCTGAAAACTACGCACACGAAGAAATACAACTGCATAAAATGAAATTCATTTTGCCAAAGAAAGACAAGACTGAGTACCAGTCATGATAAACAAATATTTATAATATAAACATTTGATTATATCTAAACATTCACTCCCTTAACTGATATGATTAATATCTGGAATATCTAATTCCATCTTGTTCTCTAGGAAAGTACATTTATAACATTTCTTTATAATGTTCCATAATGCTTGTGTATACCCACATACAGCCAAATGACAACAGTAATTTGAGATCCATGGTAACACACAGTTTCTTGTCCACATTTATCACCCAAGAAGAGAAAAAAAAATGGGCTTCTGAGATCACCATAATTTGTGTGTAACCCATTTTCAATATTTGAATTAAAAGACCGATTTTCACTAATTTTGATACGAATATTATGCCACTGACAGAGACTAAATGATTATCTAACCATGAAATGTTTCATGTTCAAGTAATCCCTATGTACAACAGCTGGAAATGTAACTGCAGAACCACATCACTATATAAGTAAAAAAATCCAGCAAGCTGATAACATTAATTCATTTATTACTTGAATAACTGACCACTACACAACTAAAAAGTTTGGCACCACTTACAATCAATGTCTATCACCAAGCAAGTATAATTCAGTTCACATTTTCTTCGTTACAACAAATCCAGATTCATGCATGTGCCTTCTGAAGGTTGCACGACTGATGAATTGTGGTCCCTCACAAGAGCAGAGGGTCAGTCACGTATTTCAGAGCATATCCTCCTGTACACTAATTTAGCAAAGCAGGAGTTGGAACAGAGGTTTCCTCAAATTATATGCAAGCATCTTCTGCATCATGAGACGTCAGAAGGCATCAATGGTGTTGGTGTTTGTCCATCTCAGAAGTTGACAGAGTGGTTAGCCATTTCTTTAATAGTATGTTTCCAAGGTTGGTAGTGCCTTAAACACTCTCCTGATTATGAAGAATACTATCTTGTGGGATATAACGCCATGTAGTCCGCTGAAGAGTCAAACGCCGTTTTGGAGTAACATATCTCCATCTCGAGAGTCAAATAAGTCAAGAAAGATACCCGCCTGAAAGCAGGTGGCAAGCTGACCCTGAAGATGAAGGCAATATGGTCCTCCAAAAAGTCGGTTGACTTTCAAGGGGCTACATTACATTATATCCCAAAAGACACTACTCTTCGTAACAACTGTTGTGAGAGCCTCAAATCCTACAACTCCTGATCAGTTGTATTCTGTGATTTTATCCCACCATACCTCCGTGGAAAAGTAAAAAAAAGTAAAGGTATCCCTGTAACAAGCCGTGGAGGCCCATAGGGTCGTGATATGTTGAGGTTCCCACATTTTCTAGACAATCAGTTCATAGATGGCAGCAAGGTTGTCAGCCCTACATGCCATCCGCCCTTTACCCCCAAGAATATTCCAAGAATATGACTGGTACTCATTTCTGTTAGAGGCTGAATCAACCCCAGGGCCATAGTGCGGCTGGAAGGATTAGGTTAATTGAAAAAAAAAATCAAATGACCTCATCGGGACTTAAACCTGCGACCTTCTGGCTTGTAGCATAGTGCCTCAACCAACTATGCTACCATGTGCCCTACAACAAAATACATTTTTATCAAATCATGAACACAGTCAATTTATTACTTTAATTTTAAAAACCACAGGCCAACTACACTATATCTAATTTCTCTGGTAATACAACCCAAAGTTTTCACGTCACTAATACTAAAGCCTACTATCTGATGCAATTTAGGCCAGTTCCTATCTATTCTTTTAAAATCCATCTCAATACTATCCCCTCACCTTCACATTTCTCAATGTAAAAGTAACTTCCTTTTCTGAATTCTATACAGACATATTTTCTTACGCATCTAAACCACAAATCCAACTCAAAAATAAAAGTAGCCATTACAGACATCAAATACATATCAAATATTTTACCAACTGGTGAACCTATACCTCCACTCCCTCAACGTCTTCATGGCATAGTGCGTAACTGATTAAGCAAAGGGACAACTTTATATAACCATATATCAGATCTTAAATGAGAAATGTATTTGTACAATTAACAGAATATCTTCTTCAGAGAATCAAAACCAGCTTTGCAACCCATCCAGAATCCTATTCAATGAGTACTGGCAGCTCTATTCTCACGGGTAAAGTGGCTGAGGTGTGAATCCGCTAACTCACCTCTCTAGGTTAAAATGCATGAAGCTACATCTCCACTCCATCATATATCTTCATGGTGTGGTGGGTGGTATACTGGGTCAATGTATCTCATAACCTATACCAGTGCCATTTAATTACAGGTTTTGTAAATTACCACAATGCACTATTCAGTAATTTATTACATTATTTTGGTGGAGTTGAATATTGCTCACAAAATTATCATACATGGGAGAAAACAAGTCAGTACCTCATGCTTTACACAATCACATATTAATAAAAGATAAACATATTCTGGTATTGCGGCCACTTGCGTTTATTGATACAAAACCTTTTCTCACATACCCTCCAAATAACATGTACAGCATTTAAATATTTATTAAAACATGCGTAAATATTACCAACATATTCAGGCTATGACAAACAGCTTTAGAGAAAAATTAGGCCTAAGCTTTACCTTCTGTAACTTCCAATGCCTGAATTCTCTCTTCTGCGGCAATCCTTACATCATGATGTGGGGACAAAATCCCATTTAACGTCTCATACAATGCCTCTTTTAGACTTCTGTTTACATCAGAACTGCTAGCCACTGAATGATTACCCAACACTGGGGAGCTGGTTGCCATCGCATTTACAGGCTATAAAATAAACAGTATAAAGTATTTCCTCTTTATAATGCAATACCATAAGATTATGATATTAGCTGCTTCCCGCCTTTCTACACCACACAGGCGATCCAAGAAGTTGTCGCCTTCACTAACGTAGATAGCTCACTACTGACGAGACATATTATTCATGTGAGCATGTACATGTAACTTACGATTCAGTCTTTGGTCTTTACGACCAAAAAAAAAAAACCCTCAATAATACCGGTTTCACCACTGGCAGCAAGCCGTTATTATGAGCATTATGAGACTGCAATTACACCGGTACATGTGAACTGATGTGAACCACGATTACGTCAATACGTAGCTCACTGTCAAAAATCTACAAAACGTTCACTTTTGTCACCCTACTAATCTTACTTGCTGTGTTACCGCATTTACTTTCCTGACTCCTTCGAAACTGACGATATTTGTTCACTTGTTCTAAAACTCGCGGAGTAAATCCATTCGAACATGGCTAAGTACATGGATCACTATCAGGCTAAGTGGGCAAGGTGCAAACCGCTAGAAACCTTACTTAGCAGGCGGATGCAACTCAATGGCCTCAATGGGGCCCTGATCGGCCCTGATCCTGATCGATCCTGATGATCCTGATCGACCAGATGGATTTCCTGGCCACATCTTGGAAACTCTTCGTAATGGTGGACAACATGGCCGCTGTGACATCAAGTGGCATTTCTGCTGCCATCTCTACGCAGACGTTTTCTAACTAAATGAGAAACTGCCACTAGCACCGACAGCATAATCAATAAAATAGAATGCTACTATACCATCCTATGCATCTCCCTTCCTTCCCTCAAAACCTCATCGCCCTTCGGAACCACCAGTTCACATGACTAGCAGTAAATAATTTTGCAAAATCAGAGTGTTTTCTCACCAGTGCCTGTAAAGTCATAACGTTTCATTAATATCAATCCATCTCCTCCTTACGCATATGTATTGGACATTGTGAACTACAACATACATAGAATACTTGTGTTTAGGAAAGCTGAAGGTGGGGAACTTAAAGAAAATTCTGTTTCCATCAGACACACTTCTATTTAACCTCACACCTTTGGTATCAACTTGCACTTGAAAGCCACATAGAACATATTTTTTTGGTTACATTAAAGCATTATGAATCATATATAGCAAACAGTAATAATGACGTTTCCATTTATTCTTAATTTCATTAGAATGACATTCAGTACTGGACAGGATTATATGGCAAAACTACAACATATCTTATAGAATTACAATGAATACTGAAATCTATATGGGAAAGAGCAACATACCTTACAGAATACACTGTAGTGCACCAGTGACCTGCTGTAGGATCTGATGAGAGGTGGGACATGAATGTCACCTTCAGGAGTTAAAACCGAAGGCAAAGGATCAAAAGAAGGTCTGAGCAATGAAGGATCAGGAGGTTGTGGGAGTGACTGTGCAGCAAAATATGAGACAAATGGAACTGCGAAACTGTTTCAGCTGTAGTGAAATCACTTTCTTAGAAATGTCTACTGCACAAAAAAATTATAGTGCAGCATTCTAGGAGATCGTTGGTGTCTCCACCTTATCATGATGAGGGGGTTTGAGTATGCCAAGGACCCTGAGAGCTATACCAGCGGTAGCGTAGCTACTGGCAGGGCCTCCCTTGCTGGACGAGTAAAAAGGGTAGGCATCAGGCGAAGAGAGACACCTAAAACTGATGCCAGAAGCAGCGTCATCAGCAGCAACTTGAAGCACAGAGCAAATGATGCTCGAGATGGTTCAAGTTCATATAGCATCAGGCGTGACCAGAGTGGTTTGAACGGCTGTTGTATTGCGATGTTGAAAGCAAATGGAAAAACTACCACATTATCACTTTTCCTGGATAGTCTCTTTCCAAAAACAGAGATACCATGTATGCGAGATGTTTCCTCTAGAGATAAAATAATCTGGAGGTAAACTACTCCCCCAATCGGATCTCCGGGAGGGATTGTTTCTAGAGGAAATGTCATGCAGGCGTTACAACAAGAAAAAGTGCGAAGATCAGAAGGAACATAATGGCTACAAGATGGGAACATGGAATGTAAGGACCTTGAGTCAAGCAGGCAAATTGGAGAATTTGAAAACGGAAAGGCAGAAGAATGAGGTGTGTGTTCTGGATGTCAGCGAAGTGTGGTGAAAAGGACAAGGTGAAATAAGAAGTGGTGATTATAGAGTGTAGTATTCTGGAGGTGAATGGGCTGAAAGAGGTGTGGCAATAGTGATGCATAAAAGTATAGTGAGGAGTGTTGCTAAGAAGATTGTTTGTAATGACAGAATTACTGCCCTGAAGTTAAAGGCGGAACCAGTAGATATACTGATTATGCAACTGTACATGCCAACATCAGAGTATGAAAATGATGAAGTGGAAAAAGTGTATGACACAATTGAAGAAATTCTTTAGGAAGATGGAAGAGTAGACACAAACAGAATCATATTAGGAGACTGGAATAGCCTTGTTAGAGATGAATCATATCAGAATATTGTTGGAACACAGGGGCTAGGAAGACGGAATCACAGGGGTCAAATGCTTATTGACTTCTGTGAAAGAAATGGTCTGATTGTTACCAACACTTGGTTCAAGAAGAAAAAGAGAAGACTTTACACATGGAAGGCACCTGGGGATTGGAGGCGGGATCAGCTGGACTACATCCTTGTGAAACATGGATTCAGAAACAGTGTGAAGGATGTGAAGACGCTGCCTGGGGCAGATATTGACTCAGACCACAACCTACTCGAACCAGGTTGAAGAAAATTATAAGATTCCAAAAGTGCAGACCTAGATGAGATTTGGAGAAGTTATATGCTCAAAGACAAAGCATGAAGGAGACCCTAGAAGAGAAACTCAGTGCAATTTGTAACGCCATGTCTGAGTTATGTCAGAGGGCATCCCCACCCCATTTCTTACTACCTACCCCCTTCCAATGTTCCACTTCCTGGTTCCCGTCGGCTGAGGTCCACCGCGAGAGTTCCATTCTGTTGTGGGAGCTTGAACTGTTCAGTCGATTCACTCTTCTCCTGGACTGTACGATTGTGATTGGTTGATTGTCGGAGGCCTATTACCTCCAGGGACTTACATTGTATTGACAGTTATTAACCTTTAAATGCTGGACTTCTGAAATAGTGGTAAGCTTGAGCTGGCCAGAGTTTATTTAAATGCCCGCTGCTGGTGTGCGTTTAAATGCCTGTTGGTACTCTGCCTTTAAATGTCCGTTCCTGTTAGTGTGCCTGAACAATTTTAAGCATTGTGTTTAAAAATGCTGTATCTAACTCAATTTTTATGATAAATGGATGGAATTAATTTTGTTTGTATCAGCAAAGAACAAATTATATACAATATATTATTATATTATACAAATTATACTCCATTTTCAATTTTTTGTTTTTAATTTTGATGAGTACTGCAAAAATGATTTCCCAGTTCTTCACAGAGTCGTTCTGCATTACAAATTCCTTTCTGTTTGTAACACTTGACAAATTTTAGCAGTCCCTGATGTCATAAAACAGATGGAAGCAATAAAATCATTTGGCCTTCTGCTAGCACTGCTTACACTCTTCGGATTTTCGAATCTTTTGACTGAAGGTCAGAAGAATGAAAGAATGGCTATTCAAGAGAAAGCTAGAGGGGTC